GTACTTTTTTAAGAGGTACTATGGTAGCTCTTTTCCACAAATCCGGATAAACTGATGTGAGAAGAGAAGCGTTAAGTATGTCGGTTATATACCTAGTGATCAGCGGGAGGTTATCCTTGAAATAACCAATCGACAGGCCATCATTGCTTACACCCCGTGATTTAGAAAAGCCAGCAAGCGATAATTGAAGAACCTCTGAGTATGAAAGAGACAATATTTCCAGGACAGGCTGACCAATTTTCAACGGGATGTTGAGAATAGTAGCTAACTCAGCATCACTACATAGTGGGTGCGCACTCCCAACTGAAGCATAATGCTTGTTGAGATCACTTGCGTTAAACTGGGCAAGAGGCGAGTTAGAACGCGCTCCCGTTACACCAATCCTGCTCAACATGGACCATTTTTGTGACGTACTACTTGCTTTTTGCAGATCCTTCAACAAGTAGCTATCCTTAGCCCGCATGACATCCCTCTTGAGTGCCCTACGACCCTCTCTGAATTCGGCTAGCAAATTAGAATTTTTCGCTCTGATTGCCTTCTGGTAGAGTCTATTAAGAGATTTACTACGTTCCTTTAGTGTATTGTCAAACCATGGGGCAGGGCATCTCTTAACCCTACGCTGGGCAAAAGGGGCATAGCGGTCCAACAATTGTACAGCTATCCGCTGGAAAATATCTAGTGAGATATTTGGATCACCTTTAATATTTTCATGGAAATCAGAATTCTCAATGTTGCTTATCAGCTCAGAGGCGAACAATTTAGCGTCAAATCTTCTGAAATCTCTGGTTTTCTTAATAATAGGTGAAAACTTTCTAGTGTTAATTTTATAATCCACTATTAAATAGTCGTGGTTAGATATAAAAGGAGCAATTGACCTTTCAGCATACTCAACTTTCGATTCTGAGTCGACCAAAATGACATCAAGCCATGTGCCAGCTGGGGTAATATGGTATGTGGGGCCGTACGGTATGCAGTACAAACCAAAATTTGTAATATGATCCTTCAAGGATTTCGTATAGTAAGATGTGCCCAAGAGATTTGAATTTAGATCACCCAAAATAATTAAATTTGTATATTTATTTGCATATAGGCTAAGAGTATAGAAAAAATTATTAAGGGCATGTCCATTTGGGTGTCTATATATGGAGGCGACAAATAAACGCTCATTTGAGGCTATAGTAAGCTCCACAATAATATATTCTGTTTCATCTGTGTTTTTAATAGCTGATTCGTGTAATACTTTGAAGGATATTTGGTTATTGATATAGAGCGCCACACCACCTCCCTGCATATATCTCCGGAAGTCAAAGTCTTCAGTTTTCCAGTTTGGATTCAATAATTTTCTGTCATTTCTTAACAGACTATAGTTCTCAATGAACACTTCATTATCCTGAATATCTGGATTAAGCCAGGTCTCACATATGGCAAATACATCAATTTTCTTTTCGGCTACCAATTCTTTGACCTCATCGACATGCGCTCGAAGGGAGTTAACATTTGCGTGAGCAAACCTAATATTATTGCCGCTCACAGGTTTTGGCTTAACACATGGATCCATTAGTTGTCACTCTATTTGCCTAAGGTCTTCCTCAGAAGAGATAGTAATAGTTTCGGATTTGTCCGATTTGCGCACAAAGACCACTGCATCTTTAGCCCAAACGTGTTTATAGCCTGCCTTAGAAGCTCTGTCCTTCGCAAGTATTTTAAGCTCATATATCATCTTGGGGAGCATTTCATAGAGCGTTACAAAATCTTTATCCGATCCCAATCCAAGGTCATTCAGGCTAATATTTCCATGCGCTCGTTTGTTTATGAGAACGTGCTCTCTAATTTGACAAGACTTAAATTTAACAATAATTGACTTTTTATTAGTCACTTTCGCTGACTTTTGCGGCTGGTTTTTCGGCTCGTTTGCTTGATTTTTAACATTAACAAATCGTGCTGAGAGGATATCGTTGGTAAGGTTTTGTAGCTTGAGAATGTCTAGTATTTTAGCTACGATATCCATCTCTCTGCCAGGAAAATCAGCCGGTAAGCCATTAATTTTGACCTCTGCAAGGGGAGTACCATGACTCCTTAGCTCTTTCAGTTGGTCTGTCTCGTCCGCCTGGACTCGAGCAGCAATCTCAAGGGCTTCGATTTTAGCAGACTGCTCAGCTTGCGCCTGATATAGCTCACTCTGTCTAGCCAGTACCTGGCTTATCATACGCTGATTGCCAAGCACCTTACCAAACAGAATAGCATCCCGCTCGTGCTGTTGCAACGTGCCCCAATTTTCAGGGATTTTGTCCTCGCACTCGAACATCATACGAGCAGACTGCGCATTTCCCGGGGAACCCGCCGACGACGCAGTTGGAGACAGCGCAATAGACTTATCCAAGTCGAGGCCCCTGGCCTCGGAGACCTTCCGCGCACGCGCCTCAGCCTGGTCCAATGCTCGCGGCAGGATGGGAGCTCTAAGCGGATTTTCCTCTGAAAGTAGAGCTGAAGACAGTTTTTGCCTGCAGCAATCCGCAGTTTTTGCACTCTCAAGCAGTTTGTTAAAGCACTTTCGGTGGCAAATCCGCTGACACGTGGAGCAAACCAGTCGATCTGCGCTATAATTCACACGCTGCTTACAGTGGGAACAGCTACGCAGATTTTTTGCAGGTCCCATGATAAACTATCTATTTATACACTATTTATAAACTATTTACAACCTAATTTTACGCTATTTTCAATCGATTTGACGCTATTTACAATTTTGGTTTCAACCTAATTGCAGTCCACAGCTTATCCACGATCGGCAACTAAACTACGCATTAATTCACTTGGACACTAGATTGAATCCACGAAACTTTCAAATTGTTAGTGACTTCGCGCCAAAGACGGTGACAGCACACTGTAGAATCGTAGCGGTGTGCGCAGTAGTCAGCGCATGCGTGGCCGCTCCAATCACTGAGGATAGACTAGCACTGGCGTAGCAAACCTAACCTCTTCCGTCGTTGTGATGTGGAAAACAGCGATTTATTTAATCAAGCCTTCATCCGTATTGTAAATGATAATCACAATGAAGGCTTGCAGTATAGCGCACGCAAGGTTGCCCTGAAAAAGCCGCCCGGGGGCGAAATAGTGCAGTTAAAAGGCCTTAACCCTTTGAAGCACAGTGTCCATCCTGATGGACACATTGATTTATTGCTTCTTTTGCCATTTTAGAACAACATTATAGATTTCAACAGGGTCTTTTGCATTCTTTCAGTTCATTAATAGTTCAAAAACATAATTTTGCAGTTGAAATCAATATATTGGGTTATTTTTTAATATTTTTAAATGAACAAAGAAGAAAAAAATTGAATTTTTGGGGAGAAATTCATTATTGACGCGAATAATGAGAGTATCCCTTTCAAATTTGGTATACAAAGGTTTTTGGGGTCGCTGAATAATAATTTGACATCAGATTTCAAAAATTGTGTATCCAAGATGGCGGATCTAAAATGGCGGGCAAGAAGATTTCCTATATTGATACCAATACTCTAAAATTCATATCTAAAGGGTTTTAGGGGTCGCAGATAACGATTCTGATATCAGGTTTCCGAAATAATGCTTTCAAAATGGCGGATATGTATATTTTTATATTGGCTTGAATACTCTCAAACTCATATCTAAAGTGCCTCAATCTCAGTGATAATCAATATCATACTAGTTTTCTGAAATTCTGCAGCCAAGATGGCCAAAGGATATGATTGATGTACATGCTTATTTGCATGACTTGAAAGTATAATATCTCAGAATAGTGGATACTTCTTTCACTAATTCTCGGCATTACCCGGAGCTTACGACGAGGACGTGATGAGTTCAAGCTCCATTTACGTTTTTTTTTGTATTTTTCATATTTTATATTTTTTTTGTATTTTTTATATTTTATATATTTTTTTTATTTTTTATATTTTTTTTATTTTTTATATTTTATATTATTTTTTATTTTTTATATTTTATATTATTTTTTATTTTTTATATTTTATATTATTTTTTATTTTTTATATTTTATATTATTTTTTATTTTTTATATATTATTTTCTGCATTTTTTATGTTTTATTTTAGTCAATGAGTGTCAAAAAATATATGGATGACTCCAGAAGAAAAGAGCCAATCTTTATTTATTTTTCGCAGGTCGGGGGTTGAGGGCCTTTTGGCGATTTGTATGAGCACCAAACACTTTGTATTGAATGTACTCTCCATGGGTCTGAGGGCCATATATATATATATATATTTGTTTTTTTGAGAGATTCATTCACCTAATCAGAAAACAAAATACTAGAATATTTGAAACAGAATACTAAATTATATTATTAGATTTGTTATCAGCACGACCGAAAACCCTTAGAAATTACGTTTCATGAAAATGAAGTCCCTAAAAATGAAATTTGATATCCGAATTTTTGGATCCGCCATTTTGGATATATTATTTCGGAAATCTGATATCAGATTCGTTATCAGCGAGCCCTAAAAGCCTTTACATTGAATTTTGAAGTATTCAGGCCAATATAGAAAATAAATGCCTGTCCGCCATTTTGAATTCGCCATTTTGGATACATCATTTAGGAAACCTGATATCAGATTCATGATTATGAATTATTAGTTATGAATTTTAAAGTTTTCAAGCGAATATAGAAAAAAATCTATGTCCGCCATTCTGAATCCGCCATCTTAGATGCAAAATTCGAACAATCTAATATCAGATTCATGATCAGCGACCTCAAAAACCCCTATATATAAATTTTCATCTAAATATCCTGGAGAGAAAAATGTATGCTTCAAAGGGTTAAAGTAGACAGAAACAAAACAGTGACTTGTCAATACTCACGAGAGAGAGAGAGAGAGAGTGAGAGTGTGTGAGAGAGAGAGAGAGTGAGAGAGAGTGAGAGTGTGTGAGAGAGAGTGAGAGTGTGTGAGAGAGAGAGAGAGAGAGTGAGAGAGAGTGAGAGTGTGTGAGAGAGAGAGAGAGAGAAACAGTACTTACGGTTGTCGACCATGCTGCCATCGCCCACGTCTATTATTTTGTCCATTCCAATGACCCAATGGAATGGGCGGGTTATTTTCATATGGCCCATTCCAATGGGCCATTGGAATCGGCGGGTGGACCACTTGTTCATTATGATTGGGCAGCGACAACGGTTCTTCATTACTTGGCGGCGACAACGGTTCTTTACTACTTGGCGGCGGCAACGGCTGAATGTCATTCGGTGGTGATTTTGAGGATATTTCCTCCACATCTTCCTCCTGGAAATTAATCAAAGAATTGAAATATTATTATAAAAAAAATTATTCATATGATGATATAATTTTAATTACCTTCAACGACGACTGGCTTTGTCCTCCTATCGCAGAGTTTCAGCTTGTCTGGACGCGTTAAGAGTAGCGATGAATATGACTTCACTATAAAAAATGAAACGAATAGCGGGTGTGGGGGGAGGGGCTGTGCTATACTTGACGCATTTCAATCTTCGCGGAACCTTTGTTTTCGTAAATTTGAAATTGACCGATAAGCAGAGATTTGTTTGAGGTCTACTATAATAAGAGATCTGTCCCAAAAGAATCAGACTTACCTCGATGTAAAATTCAACATGTGTTGAATTAAAAATGATTATAGGGAATGAAATTGCATGAAATTGTCTCTTACGATTGCAAAAAAATCGTAAGCTCTTGAGGGATAGCTTCTCGCATTTCTGCTTCTTAATATTGGTCAGAGTGATAATAAAAATTTTTTCATTATGAAGTTTGGAGGGATATGTTATTTTGTCCACATGGATTAATATTTAGAGGCAGAAAATTCAGAAGCTATCCCTTTGCATTGATTGTCATCTTTGACTAAAGTCCTGACAATAATGACAGTGCAAGAGGAGCCTGTTGCTTAAAAAAAATTACGTCAACTCAACTTTTTAAAAGCTAAAAATGCTTCAGGCTCTTTCATTACGTACAGGACTTTTGTCAAAGATGACAACCAATGCAAAGGGATAGCTTTTCAATTTTCCTGCTTCCCAATATTGATCAGGGTAATAATAAAAATTTTTTCAGTATTCAGTTTTGAGAAATATGTTGTTATGTCCACTTAGATCAATATTTAGAAGGATAAAATTGAGAAATTATTCCTTTGCATTGATTTTCACCTCTGACTAATGTCCTGTGAATAATGAAGCAGCTACAAGTTTTGTTTGCTTTTAAAAAGTTGAGTGGACGTAACTTTTTTGAAGCGTCAGGCTCATCTTGCACTCTGACTATTGTCAGGACTATTGTCAGAGATTACATTCAATGCAGAGGAATAGCTTCTCCTATTTTCTGCTTCTTAATATTGGTCAGAGTGATAATAAAAATTTTTTCATTATGAAGTTTAGAGGGATATGTTATTTTGTCCACATGGATTAATATTTAGAGGCAGAAAATTGAGAAGCTATCCCTTTGCATTGATTGTCATCTTTGACTAAAGTCCTGACAATAATGAGAGTGCAAGAGGAGCCTGTTGCTCAAAAAAAATTACGTCAACTCAACTTCTTAAAAGCTTAAAAAGGTTTAGGCTCTTTCATTACGTACAGGACTTTTGTCAAAGATGACAACCAATGCAAAGGGATAGCTTTTCAATTTTCCTGCTTCCCAATATTGGTCAGGGTAATAATAAAAATTTTTTCAGTATTCAGTTTTGAGAAATATGTTGTTATGTCCACTTAGATCAATATTTAGAAGGATAAAATTGAGAAATTATTCCTTTGCATTGATTGTCACCTCTGACTAATGTCCTGCGAATAATGAAGCAGCTATAATATAATATTAAGAATCAGAAAATTGAGAAGCTATCCCTTTGCATTGATTGTCATCTTTGACTAAAGTCCTGACAATAATAAGAGTGCAAGAGGAGCCTGTTGCTTAAAAAAAATTACGTCAATTCAACTTTTTAAAAGCTAAAAATGCTTCAGGCTCTTTCATTATCTACAGGACTTTTGTCAAAGATGACAACCAATGCAAAAGGATAGTTTCTCAAACTTCAAATATTAATATTATTATTAATATTATATAAATATTAATATTATATAATTAATATTATATAAATATTAATCTAAGTGGACATAACAACATTTCTGAAGACTGGTATTAACAAAAAATTGACTTTACATTGAGTGCATGAAAATTACTTGAAAATTACCCATTTATTTGATCTGAAATTCCAAACTCTTACAAAAGTAATTCTTTCTTTTGCAATAAATATATGCCTACAACTTCCTTTGACATTTTAATTATCGATTTACACCGTAGATTTTGTCGTGTAGAATAAAAAAGACTATAAATCTGTGTTCAATGAAAGGTTGAAAATTATTGCATTAGGTCAATGAAAATTGCTCTTTTAACTTATTAAGTTTAATTTTGACTAAAGATTCCAGGTTTCATATACATTTCAATCAATAACGTGAGCCGATGACTGCATAAAGTCAAGATCAATTGAAGACACATTTATTTTAAAATAAAAGAATCACTTGTATAAGATTTTACGCTTTCATTGCAATCGTAAAACAATTTCTTGCAATTTTATTCCCTATCATTTTTAATTCAACAAAAAATTTCAATAATAAAAAAGTTATAACCGAGCAAATTTAGTAGAACTAATGGGCTTATCGACCTTTCAATATCACTAACTTGTGAAATATGCTTTTTTTAAAAAAGTCATTGGAGACATTTTCGCATTAAAATGAGTCATATATAGAATATATACTATATTAAAAATAAGAAAAATATCTTTCGACTTAATGAGTGAGGGCCAGATAATTGAAGATTTACTTCGTTTATATTATTTATATGATCTGCAATAATTGCAGCGACACGAAGTACAGTTTGCTTATTCATTTTTCCAAATAATGTAATATTCTACACTTGTAAAATAATCTAATTAAAATAATAAATGATATTTAAAAATTAACTAAATATTTCTTCTAAATCACGTATTTCTTCAAAAAATCACAATATAATGACACTGTGACAAAACTGGATATTCGATGTTAGCTGTTCAAAGTCAACTACTCGACTAATCCTTGTGAGAGAAGTGCCGTTAGATGAAAGAGCGATAAGCGTCATTTGTTTTGGATGTTTGCGATAAGGAATTAAATTCGTGAAAATCAACAGGTATATTTAATGTGAAGAATGAAGGGAAGAAGGAAATGAGAAGAAGAAAGACCGAACGACACGCGCTTTTTTGTTTCTACAAGTCATTTGAAAACGAATCGTCATACGGGTAGGATGTAAAAATTACAAAATACATAGCTTCAATCGACGAAAGTTTGTTATGAAATTTGAAATATTATAATAACCAATATCACATTTTTTCAATGCGCGGGAGCTGCAGTTGAGGACCCAGACAATAGGGAATCTCCTTAAGACGCGCCGACACGCGAGAGAGAGAAAGAGAGAGCGAGAGAGCGAGAGAACGAGAGAGCGAGAGAGAGAAAGAGAGAGAAATAGAAATGACGATCGCAACACCGCCAACACATGATATGGCATAGTTCGCACTCTCTCGATTTTCATTTCTTTCCAAACTCTGACAACAGACGCACGGACGGAAAAATAAAAATGGGCCAGAAGCATTCAAAAGACGAGGTAATTATAAGATTTCTTTATTCGTTTCCATTGTAAGTAAGGCCATGAGGGTGAAACTAAGGGCGGGCGATCGCTTAAACTTTTTTCAGACATCTATATATGGATGTACTTAATATTCATAACGCTTTCAATTTAAAATATTTGTCTAATAACAAACCGGAATAAAATAACTTGTAAATTTCACTTATTGCTTCGGTATATAAGGCCGTGGGGGTAAAACTAAGGGTGGGCGATCGCTTAAACTTCTTTCGCACATCTATATATCGATATCCTTTATATATATACCACTTTTAGTTAATAATTTTTGTCTAATAACAAACCATCTCAAAATAACTTGTAAATATCACGAGTTTCCATTGTAAATAAGGCCATGGGGTTGAAACTAAGGGCGGGCGATCGCTTAAACTTTTTTCAGACATCTATATATGGATGTACTTAATATTCATAACGCTTTCAATTTAAAATATTTGTCTAATAACAAACCGGAATAAAATAACTTGTAAATTTCACTTATTGCTTCGGTATATAAGGCCGTGGGGGTAAAACTAAGGGCGGGCGATCGCTTAAATTTTTTTCGCACATCTATATATGGATGTACTTAATATTCATAACGCTTTCAATTTAAAATATTTGTCTAATAAAAAACCGGAATAAAATAACTTGTAAATTTCACGTACTGCCTTAGTATATATGTCCGTGGGGGTGAAACTAAGGGCGGGCGATCGCTTAAATTTTTTTCGCACATCTATATATGGATGTACTTAATATTCATAACACTTTCAATTTAAAATATTTGTCTAATAAAAAACCGGAATAAAATAACTTGTAAATTTCACTTATTGCTTCGGTATATAAGGCCGTGGGGGTGAAACTAAGGGTGGGCGATCGTTTAAACTTCTTTCGCACATCTATATATGGATGTACTTAATATTCATAACACTTTCAATTTAAAATATATGTCTAATAACAAACCGGAATAAAATAACTTGTAAATTTCACGTACTGCCTTTGTATATATGTCCGTGGGGGTGAAACTAAGGGCGGGCGATCGCTTAAACTTTTTTCAGACATCTATATATGGATGTACTTAATATTCATAACTCTTTCAATTAAAAATATATGTCTAATAACAAACCGGAATAAAATAACTTGTAAATTTCACGTACTGCCTTAGTATATATGTCCGTGGGGGTGAAACTAAGGGCGGGCGATCGCTTAAATTTTTTTCGCACATCTATATATGGATGTACTTAATATTCATAACACTTTCAATTTAAAATATTTGTCTAATAAAAAACCGGAATAAAATAACTTGTAAATTTCACTTATTGCTTCGGTATATAAGGCCGTGGGGGTGAAACTAAGGGCGGGCGATCGTTTAAACTTCTTTCGCACATCTATATATCGATATCCTTTATATATATACCACTTTTAGTTAATAATTTTTGTCTAATAACAAACCATCTCAAAATAACTTGTAAATATCACGAGTTTCCATTGTAAATAAGGCCATGGGGGTGAAACTAAGGGCGTGCGATCGCTTAAACTTTTTCCGCACATCTATATATTGATATCCTATATATATATGCCACTTTTAGTTAATAATTTTTGTCTAATAACAA